AGCAGCAGCAGCAGCAAATGGTTCTTGCACGCTGCTGCTAGGCTCATCGTCACCCAACAAGAACTTCTCTGTTGGGGGCCCCCTGTAAGCTGCTGCCTCTTCGGGGGGGCCCCCTAGGGGGCCCCCCACCGTTGGGGGCCCCCTGCTGGACTGCATTGTCAGGGGCCCCCTAGTGCTGAGGCCTGCTGCTGCAACAGCAGTGCTGCTGTATTCTGCTGCTACCCTTTCAGCTCTTACTGCTGTTTCTGCCGCCGCAACAGAGGCAAGGGCCCCTTGTGCTGCAGTAACGCAGGCCTCTTCGCTTCTGGCTGCCTGTGCTGCTGCTGCTGCTGCTGCTGCCTCGGCTGCAGAGGCTCTCTCTGCAGCAGCAGCTGCTGCTGCTTCTGCTGCCTCCATTGCTGCTGCGCAGGAAGCGCTTTTGTCGCGCTCCGCATCCGCTGCTGCTGCATTTGCTGCTGCTGTTGCTGTTGCTGCTGCTGTGGCCGCGGATTCTTTAGCTTGCTCAGAGGCATCGAGAGAAGCAGCAGCAGCAACAGTTGCTGCTGCTGCTCCTCGCGACGCTATGCGGCCTGCTGTCTGGACCGCACCAGCAGCAGCAGCAGCAGCAGCCGCTGCGTCTGCTGCTGTTGCCGCTGCAGTCAGAGCCTCCTCCTGTGCTGCAGCTGAGGCATTTCTGTGGCTGATGACTTCTGCTGCTGCTGCTGCTGCTGCTGCGCGAATCGCCTCCACCTGCTGCTGCGACTGTGCTGCAGCTGCTACTGCTGCTTTGAAAGACCGCTGCAGCAGCAGCCTGTCGGAAGCAGCAGCTGCTGCTGCTCCGTCAATTAGCCTTCGCAGCTGTGCTGCAGTGGCCATACACCTCATGGCTGCAGATTCTGCTGCAGCAGCACATTCTGCTGCTGCTTCCTTGTGCTGCTGGGCTGCTGCTGCATCGGACTCTGCTGTGGCCCTTTGCTGCTGCGTGTCTGCTGCAGCTGCGGCTGCCTCAACAGCAAGCTGCTGCAGCTGCTGCAGCTGCTGCAGCTGCTTCTCCCTTTTCTCTTCATCGGCAGCGTCTGCAGTGCCTGCAGCAGCAGCAGCCACCGCAGCGGCAGAAGCAGCAGGAGCAGCTGCTGCTTTTGCCGCAAGACGTTGCTGCTCCATGTCGGCTGCAGACCCAGCGACAGCTGCAGCAGCCTCCTGTGCTGCAGCAGCTGCTTTATTAGCACGGTCTGCTGCTTCAATCGCTTGCTGCTGTTGTTGTGCAGCAGCAGCAGCGGCAGCAGCAGCAGCCGTTGTTGCTTCCTTCAGGGCCTGCACTTCAGCAGCAGCTGCGGACTCCCACTCGCGTATTTCTGCTGCTGCCTCCTGAACTTGCTGCTGCAGCTCTGCTGCTGTGTGTGCTGCTGTCTCCTTGTACTTTTGTGCTGCTTCAGCATGTGCTGCAGCTGCTTCTCGGTGCTGCTGCGTTTGAGCAGCAGTGGCGGCAACTGCTGCTGCTGCTGCTAGACTCTCCTCCATGTCCAGTCCCTGTTGACCTCCTTCAGCAGCAGCAGCAGCAGCAGCATCGGTAGAAGCAAGTTGCCCCGTACTAAGTGCAGCAGCAGCTGCAGCAGCAGCTGCACCGCCAGCATCTCCTTGCTTAGCTGCCTCTTCTGTCTTCTTCGCTGCATCTGCTGCTTCCACCGCCTGCTGCTGCTGCTGCGCAGCAGCGGCTCCAGCAGCAGCTTCTGCTGCTGCTTTTTGGGACTCCATTTTAGCAGAGGTAGCAGACACCCACTTTGCTTCCGCGCCTCTCTTGGCTTGCTGCTGCAGCTGCGCTGCTGCTTCTGCAGCTGCTGCAGCCGCTGAGCTGATGTACTCCTCTTGCTGCTGCGTGGCTCTTGCTGCAGCAGCAGCAGCAGCAGCAGCAGCAACTGCAGCAGCATGCTGCTGCTCAACGGCAGACACAAGCTCCTTGGCAGCATCAAGCGCTTCCTGCGCTGCTGCTGCTGCTGTCTTAGCCAGCTCCTGCGATTCCTCAGCTTGCTGGCACTTCCCAGCAGCAGCAGCAGCAGCTGCTGCTGCTGCTGCTACATGCTGCGTAGCAGCTTCTGCCCCGGCAGCAGCACTGCTCAAGTGCTTCTCTGCTGCTGCAGAGTGAGCAGCAGCCTGCTGTCTGTGCGTTTCGATGTCATTTGCTGCTGCTGCTGCATTCTGCTGTTGCTGCTCTGCCGCAGCAGCAGCAGCAGCAGCATCCTTTTCAAAGCGCTGCGAGCGCTGAGCCGCAGCAGCACAGACTCTTAAGTGCTGCGCTGCTGCAGCAGCAGAAGTGGAAGCAGCAGCTGCTGCTTCCTGCGTCTCCGCGGATTTAGCTTGAATTGCAATGGCATCATCTTTTGTTTGCTGCAGCCGCAGCGCAACAGTATTAGCAGCTTCTTTTGCTGCTGCTGCAGCTGCTGCAGCGGACTCTGCTGCTGCTGCAGACTCCGCGTGCTGACGGGCAGAAGCTGCATGCTGTTGCACCTCTGCAGCAGCAGCTGCTGCTGATGAAGCAATCTCCTTTAGCAGCGCCTCCTCCTGCTTAGCTGCTGCTGCTGCTGAAGCTCTTGCTGCTGTTGCTGCTGCAGCTGCTGCTGCAGCCGCTGCCTGTACCTCCTTCACTGCTGCAGCTGCAGCACTTTGTTGCTGCTGCGTCTCTTCCAGCAAACGAGAAGCTTCTGCAGCAGCATCGCCGGCGCCCTTTGCTGCCGCCTCTGCTGCTTCTTTGCATGCATGCGTCTGCTGCTGCTGCTGCTGCGCATCTGTTGCTGCAGCGCCTGCAGCAACTGCTGCTTCTTCAGCCTCCCGAAGCGAAGCAGCAGCAGCTGCAGCAAGCTGCTGCATCTTGCCCTCAGTTTCTGTGGTTTGCAGCAGCAGCGCAGCAGATTCCTCTGCTGCAGCTGCTGTCTGTTCTGCAGCAGTTGCTGCGGCCCTTTCTGCAGCAGCACAGCGCTGCTCCGTGATCTTGCATTGCTGCGCTGCTGTTGCTGTCTCCCTGAACTTATCAGCAGCAGCAGCAGCACATGCAGCAGCACGTGCTGCTGCCTCTGAGACCCGCCGCCGAGCTCCAATAGTTGCTTCAGCAGCAGAAGATACCAGCCGCAAGCTTGCCTCAACAGCTTCTGCTGCTGAAGCTGCTTGGTCCGGTGCTGTTGCTGCTGCTGTTGCTGCTGCTGCTGCTGCTTCTGCTGCACTGTCTCCACGCTTGATCGTCTCCTCCACAGAGAGCACAGAGGACAGGCTTTCTTCCCCATTTTGACTTGGCTCTGTTGCTGCTGTTGCTGCTGCTGTTGCTGCTGCTGTTGCTGCTGTTGTTGCTGTTGCTGCTGCTGCTGCTGTTGCTGCTGTTGCGGCTGTTGCTGCTGTTACTGTTGCTGCTGCCGTTGGTCCCGTTGCTGCTGCTGGTGCGACAGCTGCTGTTTCGTCCTTCTCTTTTTGGGCTTTTCCCGCTTCACGCAGGCGCACATCTGCTGCGGCCATTGCTGCAGCAGCAGCAGCAGCTGCTGCTGCTGCTAACTTCTCTGCTGTTTTTGCTGCTGCTGATGTTGATGCTCTTGCCACTGGTGCTGCTGCTGCCCTTGCTTCGGCTTCTCTGTTGTCGGGTACAGTCTCTGCTGCTCTTTGACCTTTTTCTGCTGCTGCTGCTGCTGTCGCTGCTGCTGCTTCTGCTTCTGCTGCTCCCGTGAGTTCCGCTGCTTTTGCTTCTTCCACTATTTCTGCTGCTTCCGCTGCTTCTGCTGCTTCTGCTGCTTCTTGTGCGATTGCTGCTTCTGTTGCTCGTGCAGCTGCTGTTGCTTCTGCTGCCTCTGCTGCTTCTGCTGCTTCTGTTGCTTCTGCTGCTTCCTCCGCTCCTGCTGCTTCTGTTGCTGCTCCTGCCTCTGCTGCTTCTGATTCTGTTGATTCTGTTGCCTCTGCTGCTTCTGATTCTGCTTCTTCTGCTTCTGCTGCTTCTACTGCTGCTGCTGTTGCTTCTGCTGCTTCTGCTGCTTCTACTGCTGCTGCTCTTGCTTCTGCTGCTTCTGCTAATGCTGCTCTTGCTTCTGCTGCTTCTGCTGTTAACTCTGCCGCTTCCTCTTCATCTCCAGGCCTACTGTTCGTTGCTGCTGCTGCTGCTGCAGCAACTGCGGAGTCAACTGAGCCATTTTCCTGCGGATCTGCATCTTCTGTCTCAGCGCCTGCAGCATCTGCTGCTGTTGCTGCAGCGTCAGCAGCAGATGCCCTTGCCGCTGCTTCTGTTTCTGCTGCTGCTGCTGCTGCTGCAGTTCGTTCCTGATCAGTCCTCTCTGTTCCTTGTGGCATAAGGTGCGCCATTGTACCTTCAGCAGGCACATCTGCTGTTGCTTCTGCTTCTGCTGCTGCTTCTGCGTCTGCTGCTGCTGCTGCTGCTGCTGCTGCTGCTGCAGCAGCAGTTCGCTCTTGCTCATTACTCTCTGATTCTTCCGGCATCAGATGCGCCACTGTACCTTCAGTAGGTACATCCGCCGTTGCTTCTGCTTCTGCTGCTGCTGCTGCTGCTGCTGCTGCTGTCGGCTCTTTTTCTGCCTCCTCTGCTGCACTTAGGCATTCAGATCCATCAGCCTGTGATGTTTCTGCTTCTGTTGCTGCAGCAGCAGAAGCAGCATCCGCTTCAGCAGCAGCCTCTTCTGCTGCTTCATTCACAGCTGCCTCATCATTTGCCGCTATAGCTGTTGCTGCGGCTGCCTGTGCTGCAGCACTTGCTGCTAATGCTACTTCTGCTGCCTCTGCTGCTTTTGCATTTGCTGCTTCTGCTGCTTCTGCGAGGGCATCTGCAGCTTCGTCATCTGCTGCTGCTTGCTGCCTTTCTGCTGCTGCCTCTCTGGCCTCTAAGGGTATTGCTTCAGCTGCTGCTGCTGCTGCTGCTGTTGCTGCAGTCGGTGCAGTTGCTGCAGTGGCATCTTCTTCAGCAGCTGCTGCTGTTGCTTCTGCGGTAGCAGCTATATCAATTGCTTCTGTCTCTGCCTGTCTCGCCTTTGCTGCAGCAGCAGCTGCTGCTGCAGCTGCTGCCTTGGCAGCTGCAGCAGCAGCTTCTGCTGCTGTAATGCTTGCGGTACGACTGCACTTTTCAACTGCTGCTGCTGCTGCCGTGACTGCTGTTGCTGCTGCTTCCCTCTGTACAATAGTTGCTGCTGCCTCTGCTGCAGTTGCTTCCGCTGCAGCTGCTATGTTGATTGCTTCGTCCTTTGAGGCCTTTGCTTTTGCTGCTGCTGCGGATGCTGCTACAGCTTGCACATCGGCAGCAGCAGCAGCGGCAGCTGCTGCTGCTGCTGCAGCTCCTGCTGCTGCAGTGGCTGCTGCTGCTTCCCCTTTAAGGGCCGTTGCCCTTCTAGTCGCATTCACCACTCCACTTTTTATTGCTGCGGCTGCTGCTGCCGATGCTGCTGCTGCTGCTTCTGCTGCTCCAGATGCTGCTGCTGCAGCTGCGGATTTCTCAGCTAGGTTTTGCTCGTCTTGGGTTTCTGTTGCAGCTGTTGCGGCAGCAGCTGCAACAGCAGCAGCAGGTGCTGCTGCTGCTGCTGTGGGTGGCGATGTTTCAGGCGTGTCAACTGGCAGCGAAACTGCTTCTGCTTCTGCTGCTGCTGCTGCGTGTGCTTCATTTGCTTCCTGCTCTTCTGTATCTGTTGCGTCTGGGGTTTCTGCTGCTGCCTGGGCCCCACCTGCTGCCGCCTCTGCTGCTGGCGCTGCTGCTGCTGCTGCTGCTGTTGCTTTAAGGATTTCGTCGTTTTCTTCCGGTGCTGATTCGAGATCTGTGTTCGTTGCTGCATCCTCTGCATCAGAAACAGCTGCAGCAGGTTCTTCTGCTGCTGCTGCTGCTGCAGCTGCTTCTTTTGCTTCTTCATGTGGTTGGTCTTCAGCGTTTGCTGGCGTTGTGAACGCAGCTGCTGAGGCTGCTTCTGCTGCTGCCTCTGCTGCTGCTTCTGCTGCTGCTTCTTCTGCTGCTTCTGCTGCTGCTTCTTCTGCTGCTTCTGCTGCTGCTTCTGCAGCTGCTTTCTCCGCTGCTTCTGCTATTTCCGCTGCTGCTGCTGTTGCGGCTGCTGCCAGGGACAGTGCTGCTGATGCTGCTTGCTCGGTTACTAACGGCGAATCGCTGTTATTACCTGCTGCAGCTACATCCGCTGTTGCTGCTGCTGCTGCTGCCTCTGCATCAGCGTGCGCTGCAGCTAATGCTCCCTCT